CGCACCTGTACGCGCGTAGTCGCGCACTACAAGGGGGAAGACTCGATTCCTAAGAGAAGGAGTCGGTAGCCGCTGCGGAATCACTGCCACTTGCAATATGAATTTGGGGGAAGTACCGCCACCCCCGTAACCTACAGATGCTCACTGAAGTGCGCTCAGATTTTAGGATTAAGTTGAAGCATATGCCAGAAAATTCTATTTAGTATCCTTATCTCCCTTACCACGTCTTTCAACCACCCCATTGAAGAAAGTCGAACGACTTTGATGGTATGTGTAGGATCAAATTAGCGGACGACACAACTTTGAACATGCCTACACCTTCAAATTACATTTTTAGTGAGTTCTCATACGAAAGCCCCGTTTTTGAATCATCTGGAAACGAAGGTCAGGAACCCAGTTTGACGAATCAAGCGCTCAAGAAGACAATATTGAAAGGTGGTCTTAACTTCTTTCCTTAGTCAGTGTAACTACTCCGGTAAACTTACTTTTTCTCTTTCATTTTAGTCGAGGGCGCTTTTCCTTCTACTCGAAGACGGCTTCGAGTTCAATCAGCCTACAGCAACGTGATAACACCCCTCGAATTTGCTTGTCAAAAGTTGGAACTGAAAGCAAATCAGATAAATGCGGTGCTGGATGATGTCACCGAGACCCGTCCTCTGGATGTTAAAGGGCTTCAACTACTTCTGCAAGGAGCAGTGATGCCTACTGTGAGGCATTTCCTTCAGTACCGTTGAGATTCTACAGTTTTCCTCAGTTTACTTTTCTCATTTGTTGGTGTTGTAGGTCAATGCAGGTCCATTGGCTTATGCGGAAGCGTTTACACAGCCTGAACAAAGAGAACGTTATGGAGAAGGCGGTGTACGCAATCTGGAAAGTGCCTTCAGGTGTTTACCTTACTTTGCTGAAAACTGGTGAAGAGTCTGGGAGCAGCTGAGCGTGTTGAGATGATTCGAGAGCTTTTGGGTAGTTGAGTAAACTTTGCCCGTAAAGAGAGTTGGAAGAGTCGATTCCAATCATTTGTGATGAGCTGGGCTCCATGCTTGTGATGATCTGTTTAGTGCAAGTTTAAAGGGATCCTTAACATATAACTGTGGTAAACTGAAAAATACTTACTTGTGATAGTGCCAAATCAAAAATAGTGCCAGTCTAAGCCAAGCTGATGTAGCGTTACCCGAATCATTGTAATCCCTTGCCCTTAGCGGCGTGGCTTATCTGGTGTAGGTGAATTGTGCAGCCAGGTGTATATTTTTGACATTTTCCAGGAAACTAATGTCTGCATGTGAAAGAGCGTTACAAGTTAATGAAACAGTTGTGGCAATGGATCAACAGACCTACCATGAGGTGCTACTGGCCTCATTCGACGCTATGCACGAGCGATTGATGGGCTTCTTTGGTACTTCGGTAAGTTGCTTTATCTTCAGAAAGCTTAGGACAGTTTAAGATTGAATTCGCTAAAAGCGTAGAAGGCTTTCTAGCACTATTATCAAAGCGTTGATGAGTAAGTAGCCCTGTTCGAGTCCTAGTCCAACTACTATTATTAGCCTCTGTTTCCGAAAGCACAGTTCACGATTAGCTTTAGGTATCAGCCTAGGTGAAATAATGTAATTTATGGTGCAGAATAATGTAGAAACAGCGAAGACAATGCGCACCAGCCGACTTTAAAAAGTATAAATAAAAACGCACTAGGAAGTGGTTACTACGGAACTATTAGTCGGTGGTATTCGTCTGGGTGCTCCTACACAATTGTACTATTCGTCGGCGTCCTAACGCTTCTTTGTGAATGGTGCAGCTTCAACAGGGCTCTTTTTTACAGTACCCGTCGCCCAAGCCGGTTTTGGAGCCCTTACAACGTCCCTTTGAACTTGTTTTTTTTTTTGACCCAACAGTGTCCTACGTGCTATTTGTGTCCACTATTTCATCCTTCGGGAAATCTCTAAAAACATTTTCATCGAGAACTGTGTCTTTAATAAGTTCTGCCTACTACTTCCTTTTACTGCTTTAAAGATTGTCGCTTAATTTGGACTACTTCGATCTTGATTCCATTCACATCCTTGTGTCCCTCACCGCCTATTTAGCCCAGTCCTGTCAACTATTTCACGTTTTAACTTAAAATCTGATTAATCGTCTACTCCATTCTCTTTGAAGTCTAGGTCCTGAAGCCATTTCTTGTAATATTCCTCTTTTTTCAACGATGCCGCATTTTTCGTTTGCGGAGGCTTATAAACATAACACATCCATAATTCTTGTGAAGGTTGTAACCTTTTCGTCCACTCAAACGTCACCCTTTAAGTCTGAAGGGCAAAGTCTTAGATTTTTAATCGACCCTGAGGGATGCGCCCACGCATTCGACTTCCAGTCAGAATCGTAGTGACGTATGCTTATGTGGGCTACACATTGACTTGCGGAGGCCAGCCGATGTACAAGTCAGTTTTTTTCCTCCCAATGGAGTCTGGTACCAATTAACCGATCCCGGAGGGATCTAACCGCCGTCTGAGTTCTTTATCTGCTTGTTTTGGTCAGATTGTTGGTCTGTTTCCGTGCCCTTTGCATGGCTGTGTCATAGGTCCAGTGTCCTCAGACTAGACCCACTTACATCGAGTTTTCATATACATAGTGAATCTCGTGACAACAGCTCTCTCATGGACAACAACATGTGACTTCTCGTCTTCCCTTTTAGAAAGTCCTCCCAATGCTCGTGACCCTAATAGAGTTAGGTGGTGGGATGTTGCTGATGAACGAAAATGCATAAGCGGATTATGGGAAACGTCATTCGACAGGAGGATATATTCGTAGAAGATCACGTGCATTTGTAGGGAAAGCTGGGTCCGGGGGCCGCCAGGACGAGTGCCTTGGCGTCATTCCATCACCCCCCACGCGACCCATCCCACATGACTGGCTTTCAATTCCCACTTTCCATAATTGGCGTCGTCATTTACGGCGGGCTATTTTCGTTCATTCGCAGTCCTTATTGACGTACAGAATTTCTGATGAGGTGTCTTTTCAAGCTTCGAGAAGCAAGACGTCAAGAAGTCGTCGGTGGTGACGTGCCAAAATCAGCTATTCATGTACTGGACACCATAGGTGGTGTGACAGCGTGAGATCTATAGATCGATTACTTCGTTCAAATGTACTTCTACTAGTCCAGTATTAGTTTGCTTGTACTTTTCTCATTTTCATCGATTCTTTTTTTCTATTTTGAAAACGTTTACTGTAGCATAAATCTTATTGAACTCAGGTGATTGCATAATATACTGTATCATGTTCTGTACTATCTTGTTATACACTTCCTCTCCCTGTTTCTGTTGCTATATTTTGTTGTTACAAAGGTTTAGTTATGATCGTCATCGAATTTTTTTTGCATAATTCGTTCCAGGACCCATGCGTGAAATGTGATAGTTCATCTCTCTTTCTCTTGCCTCATGTGCTGTTGTCTGTCATAATAGCTGTCATATGTAATTTAAATAGTATTAGTACAAATTAATGTTTAAATATGTTACATTTTGTCATGAGATTAGTTCATTAGCAGTAGAATCCAGTGCGGCGTCGCGGCTGCGATGCGTGTTCTTTTAGGATTGAGGGCGCGCTAACGCTTCGCGGGCGAAGTATGACCCTAAGAGTAGTCGTTTTAATGGATTCAACTGTTTACTTGCCTATGTTTGCCAACTCCCTCTGAAATATTTTAAGTATCAGTAGCGTTTAATATTTCGAGGGTTTCAGAGCTATTTGTTTTGCAACAAATCAATTTACGGTTCACAATATTTGCATTGATCTGGAGTGAAGTGCTATGAAATTTTATATAATGTGATAAATAATAATTTCTTCTATACTAGTGTTTCCGGTTATCATGAAATGCAAAGGAGGAGTGGTCATGATCACCATTCTGCATATTTCTGAACAATTTTAGGACTTAGAATTTTAGAACAATTTCCTGCACGTAAGCTCTTGCCGTTTGTTTGACTTGCTCGTCAAAGTTTGACTAGCTCGTCAAAATAGCAGTGTTCATTAGTGGTTTAAAAGTAGTCACTAGTAACTTCTCAATTCCTTCAGTGAACCCCTCCTGAAGACACTCCGTTCATATAGATGGGTATACCAGTTGGCCTCGTGGGAAAGGAAGAAATATCCGGAAAAGTCGGTTTTTGGCGCTAACAGTGCACAAAAACTTTGGGAACAACTTACAGGAACCTGAAGTGTGGGAATCAGCAGAGTGTGAATTATTTCTTTATTCGGAAATCTGGACAGGATGTCCTGCTCTAGCTGTCTGAAGGCCATCTGGGCCGCTTTTCAGTAACTCAAACTGGGTAGCGTAAAAAGACTTACTGGGATTGCCTTTGCGAAAATCATGGTCCCTTTCAAGATTTTCGAGAACTCTACTCTTTCTGAAAGTAACAGCGAGTTTTATAACGTGAAAGCGCTCACATTTACCAGTGGGCGGTATGCTGTAGTGGCAGCGGGCGCGGTTATGACTCACATAGGCCGTGGGTCGAATCCTGCGTGGGCTAAATTACTCGTCTAAATTAAATTATGGGACTAGATAAATCAGCTCTGAATCTAGTGGGCTCTCAAGAACCTCGAGTGGAACATTTGCTTACTCCTTTACGTCCACGTAAATGTCAAATACCCAGTCAAACGCCTCTGCGATCCCGTTTGAATGTTGAAGCTTTGACGCATTTCGAGAAAAATTAACAACGTCAATTCATTGTTGTCTTTAACATTTACACAGGAAGTCCTATGGGTGCTGGAAATAGATTTGGCTAAATTTCTATGAAATAATGTATTGCATCGTGCATGCCGTACTCAGAATTTTACGATGTATGTGATTACGTACTTTCTTGTCATTTTCAGCTGCCACAGAATTTGTCACAAATGGCAATATTTCATTCGCGTAGCTCCCTTCAAAGTTCCAAGCTACGATGTTTCTTCCTTCATGACATATATGTCCCAGGTCGAACCCGTCATATAATCTCTTGAGCTCATCATCATTTGAGCCCCTCCTGGAGTAGAAAAGGGCTTCCTTAGTCCGCTGGCGGGTCAGATCGGATCCGCCTTATGATCTTTCAAGCTAATTATTTTCTGAGTCTCTTCGATAGCAAATTCAAGGTTCTCTCTGTCCATGCTAGAAGTCTACAAGTCAGCGAGTTTTTGCTTTTTTTTTGTGTGCACTACTGCTGGAGACCCCTTTGTAGTCTTTGAGCAGGGCTTTTTAAAGAGTGTATACTCGATAACAGGTAGTCGCTAAGACCTACTGACCTGACCTTGACTGAACTTAACTTTTGAGTACAGAGTTGTTTTTTCGATAGTAAACACTTTTGGGAGTCACAGTCTATTTTACTTATTTGGTAAGTTCTATAGCATTGTGAGCACTGTTTACGTTAGTTTAGTTTGGCCCAGTTTTGCATAACTATGAGAGAATCAGAATTCTGGTTAACCTCGGTTGTCATCTTTGCGGCCCTCTATTCACTGAAAATGCAATTTCCCATAGATTGGGCTGCTGTTAATTTGATACTTTAGTTTTTGAAATTGAAATCAGTGAAACCCAACTTCTTGTTGTCTACGCTTTCAGGCAGTCACAGCGTAACGGTTGTCCTGTATAGGAGTCGCGAATGGGTCAGGATGCGCCGTATTATTCGCCGCGCTGATGGTGTAGTGCCAAGTGGCGCGCTAACACGCGCATGATACGTCCTGGATCGGTGTGACCGGATCAACCAAGCCTTGCAACCCTACAGGATCGCTTAATTGGTATCGGAGTTGTGTGGGAAGATAATAGCCCTAATTTATTCCCAAGTAGGCCATTGTAAGACATTGTTCAGGCTAAATACACATTCAAATGTCACTACGATTTTGAGAGGAAGTCGAATGTTGGGCAATTCCCAAGAACGGAACTGATCAGCGTCAAAAGCCTTCCTCCTTCATTTTTCACGGAGTTAAAAGGATTTGTCCCCCGAAGTCCCTTTGGCAACATGGCGTGCATCACGCGCTTACGGACGCCCATTTGGCGCATGAGAGGCACAAAGAAACCAACTCTTGTCGAGTCAGCTTCGCCTCAGACCAGATTCACGTATATACATATGTATATTGGTTTTTTGTTCTTTTTTGTTTCCTGGAACGACTCACCACTGCCACTTTTGCTGTGCTACTGGCTTTGCTGTGTCACTTGAAGCTTGCTGTCATCAGACCACCTGGTATCCTTTTACTAGCTAGCAAGCCTGCTGTAAAAAATGTACCAGGTGGTCTGATGACCACTTTACGTCATAAGTTACCAGCTGGGAACAAAAACGATTTAATTTTCTTTGCTTAGCAAAGGCTGCACACTCCCATTTGCCTCTGGGCTTTAGGGTACAATTCACGATAAAAAATGATTCCCGAGATTCCTCCCTGGATGAACCTGTGCCCTCCAACGATAGCGCGTGAAACATTGTCGGGTTGGAAAACGATTTAACAGGGCTTATAAGGGCTCCAAAACGGCTTGGCCGACTTTCACGCCTAAAAGTGGCCGTGTCATAGCGGTCTTGTCAAGGCTGCACCATTCACAATGAAATGTTTGGTCACCGGCGAATAGTACGCTTATGTAGTAGATACCAGACGGTTACAGACACATGACCTCGTACAAACCCCTTTCTTACTACTTTGCTGACGCCTTTTATTTCTTGAAATCTGCCAATTTTCTCGCTTTCTTCGCCGTTTTTGCACTATTTTGCACAAAGAGCACAAAAACTTCCATTAACTCACCTAATCCAGGTGGCTCAGGATAATCAAGAACTGTGCCTTCGAGAGGTTCCTAGGCCACATACAACGGCTTCCAGAAGCTACTCCACGAATACCTAAATGCTCACGTTCTCCCAGACAAGGCAGTAGTGTTCAGCTCGTTCTAGAGGTTACAGATATTGCTAGCTTGGAATGAGTTCGATCTCCATACCATATGTTCTGTAGCACACCTGTTCCCTCCACTACAATTAAGTTAATTGCTTTATTAATGTGGCAGGGACGATTGGTTAATCATTCGATCGAACATTGATCACTGAAAACTTCTACTAACTGGTAACATACTAGTTTTTTTTTGTTTCCGACAAGTGCATTTTAACATTTATTAAAACCCCATAAAGAAATACCGTACTGTACTCGAACTGCAACGCAACCACCGTTTCCTACTTATTTACACCGTATCCCTTTGTTGGCTAGAGAAATACCAGTGCAGACCCCATTACGGTAATGCTAGCTACTCTTTTACTAGTTAAACCTACAGCAAGATCAGAGCTAGTCTAAAACTGCATTCTAAATTCGTAGCGTACATGGAGCAAATGGTGTATATGATGTCTACGGAACCTTAAACTCGGTAGTGGCAGTCATTTCTTTGTACTTGTTAATTACTTATTCTCTGCATTTTTTCTCGGTACTCAAAAATTTGAATTTTTACTTTTTGCACATTGTCCCTTTTTTTGTGTTTTTTCTTTCATTGCGGAAGCATTTCTCGCATCAAGCAGCTTCATGCCGCCCCACTAAGCCGGCATGAGACGTGAGCTTTCTTGACAAGTGCTGTCCATACTCCCATGGGAGAAAGAGGGTCTAAGATATTCGCTGCCCCTACTGATTGACAAGGATGGGCCTCACTTAGGGACCTTACGCAAAAGTCAGGGCAAGTGAAAATTATCTTGGGCCCCCCTCAGAATCGGTGTTGGAAAGTACGAGATAATCAGTTTTTTATTGTTTTTTTTTTCATTTTTTCCATGTGTTCGTACTACTGGTCGCATGTGTGGTATTTTTCGGGGTTTGATTTTTTGTTGTAATTTAATAAAAGTGGTGTAGTGGCAAGTGGCGCACTTCACATGCGCCTCGGGTTCGAATTCCGGACCGATAGGCTAACCAAGCCTTCCATCCCTCCAGGGTCGGTACCGAACTGATTGGTACCAAACTCGTCTGGAGGATAAAAACACTGATTTGTACATCGGCTGGCCACCGCAAGTCATTGTATACGCCATATACGCATTCAACACTCCACTACGATTCTGAATGGAAGTCGAATGCGGGGCGCATTCCTCTGGGGAATGATCAAAGCCCCAAGAAGACTTAAAATGAATTTCGCTGATATTTTGTTTGTATTCCTCTGCTGATGGCGCACTTTGGGTGTATAACAGATAAATAACTAAATAAACCGATAAATGAGTGATCAAAGTAAAGTAACTTAGTAAGTAAGTAGGTAAATTAATCACCGGTGCAGGCCAGTCGATCTCACAGCGCCTCTCAGTAATTGATTTCAAGTACTCTTCTCTAGGCGGGCTTCTACAATAGTCTCGACCCAACAACTCTATGGGTAAGCCCAATACCATTCAAACGCCGCTTTGAATCGAAATGGGAGTCCAATGCGATGGCGCACCCGAGTCGATATCGTCAAGACTTAGAACAGACTGACTTTTTTTGCTTTGATTATGTCTAATGATTATTACCGCTGTTGGCAAAGCGAAGGTTATCATCAAGGGGCGGAGTTTGTGCAAAACGTTCGACCTCGGACGAGACTCGAACCCGAACCCGAGGAACTTTACTTTTTCGAAATCGGGTTTCAAGCGTACACACATTTTTGATACAATTTTCGCTTTTTTGTCTTGTAATTGCAAAAAGCGACTGAATTATGTCAGGGTTTTTGTTTGTTTTTTTATTTATCAGGCCATGAGCCTCATTTTATGTTTAGGACCCTACGCCTAACTACACTTGGATGGTTGACTTCTCAACTACTTTTGGATTTCAACCCTTTTTCGGTCGTCAAATGACAAATTTATTGCTGTCCATGTAGATCAGAAAAAGGGCTTGAAACTGATTTTTCCGATCATTAACGTTCGCCAGCGCTTTATACCTGTATAATTAAGTCGATGAAAGAACAGAACGTTAGTAAAGCGTTTTGCGCAGTATTAATCTTATCAAGTATTTCTTGTAAAGTAATAAAATTGCAACATCAATGACCTTTTTCTTGAGTGATTGACAGCCAAGGCTATTTTTAGGATAAAACGCTAGAACACCATTCATTCTGAACAGTTTCGGAATATCCTCAAAAAGATTACATTATGTTTGAGTAAAATCAATAGTCAGTACTCTTTCAAACTTTGACATTATATTAATAAAATCATTTATCCAATAATTGCGCTCAATAATTGTCCGAAGGAAGCGCGCTCTAATGCTAAAACGTCCTTTGATTATGTTGGCTCAGCTTCTCGGTGCAAGAAATGTAGTAGATACCATTTTGTTAAGTAACTCTTGGGATTTTACTTGTTTTCTATGGAATCCGAACGTTTTTATTTGTCCACTTTTCCTACGTCTAGATTTCTTCGAGAATTTTCTTGATTGGACTGCCTTTAGAATGAGAACTGGTTTGTTTTTCATTCCTAGATGATTCATATTGGATCGGATATGTTGATGATGGGTCAGATATCAGTTTGCTATTGATTCTTCTCTCTCATTGTGTCATTTGATCGAGATATGATTGCCTGGTTGCTTTCTTGGGCGACTACTTTTGTCAGTAACGCTTCTAGAACACTTAGGTGTTCTCCTTAGAACATATAGATGTTCTCCTTACTTGTATCTGTTCTTTTTTCTGTGTTACTAGTTATCATCTTGTATAGAGGTCAATATAACTTTTGCGAGTGTTTGTGGCTAGCTGTGGAAGTCTTACGTGTGCTCATTCTGATGTAAATACTAGTTCGCCCTTACTTTCTTCGGTATAACTGTTTGTTCAAGTAAGTACGCTGTGCAGTAATACTGAAGGCGAATTTGGGTTATTTTATTGATTTTACTGTCTAATCCGATTTGATTTTAACGTAGCTGTAGTGTAATTATTTGAGCTCGCATTTCGCACTTGTTCGTGCTAGTTCTTCGCGAGGTGATCTCATTTCTGTGTACACAGCCCCTTTGTTGTTTTAGATGGTGAATGCTGCGCATGTCTCGTCATCGAATTCCACGTTGAGCGCTCAGAAGAAACGTCAAGATGAGAAGAATCTGAAAACCTTACGGTACGGTTACTATTCAGTTACTAGTACTGACTCAGTATCTGAGAATGTCAAACAATTGATTACTACTAGCCTGTCCAGACTGATTGACCTGATCACTCATACAGTGATACTGCCATTAGAACTATTGAAAACCCGTGAGAAGTGATTACTGAGTAGTTTTTTTCGAGTCCCAATGAAGTTTGTGTATAAGCTTGATTGGGCTGACTTTTCAACAGGATCGCTTCCTTCAGAGGCTGAAGGGAACGTAACGATTTGTGACTATACGGCGAAATCTCGTCATAGCCCCACTGGAGTTTATAACTAATACGAACCTCTTGAAGAGTTTAAGAAAACGCTTCAGTAATATTGCTGTTATGTGAGACACTCACGTGGTAATCACTGGGAAAGTGAATTTTTCACTTGCATTACCATTTTTTTGGGTGAAACACACTCTAAACATAGATAAACAAGCAAGTGGTGTCCTGTTTGTATTTTTTCATTTCGTTGGAATCCGTTTCGTTTTAGTTTGTAACCTACTTAGGATCACTTGAGCTGCATTGTTGATCTCTCTTTTTTTGGTTTACGGTTTAAACAAGGACCAGATTGAATTGTTGTTACACAAAATTCAAGAAAACAGCTGAAGAGATGTCCGAACAATCGCACAGTAACTACAACAGTAGTTTGGTAGTGCATTCTAACCGTTGATGTGCACTTTTTTGGTTATCGGATCTGTGTAAATCTTACTTTAGTAGTCTGCGAACTAAAAATACTCTGGAATATTTTTAAAGCTTAGAGATAGGGATTCCTTCGATAGGATTTGAATTCAAGAATAGAAATGGAAGTACACCGTAGCAAGGGTGGTAAGAGCTGTTATAGTATACCCCGAAAGTATGTCGTATACTCTGTAAAGTTTCTACTCGAAAACTTTCGAACTTCTTTTCAGTAGGTTTACAGTTTTGTTATTAGCATTATTATTATCATTAATATCACTTGATATAACCTCATCATTTATTTACTTTTCAATGCATCAAGAACCAATCCTGAGTAAGCTTCTTTTTCAACAAAGAATGGCCATGTTTGAGGGTTATAAGTAATCTAGCGATTTGTGCAGATATTTGGAGCGGCTCGAATTATTACCTGAGTTCTGTGCTTATGGAAATCTGGCTTTATTGAAGATTCCTTCGTGACCCCTCATGGAATTTTTATATTTTTAAGTTTCAAGATTTCGCTAAGCTTACGGCAGATGTTGTGACTTGTTTATTTTCAAACTCGATAACTTACTGTTTAGTTCCTTTTGCACAGAAACTGAAGGCTTTGATCAAAATCATCGTTATGATTCGAATGAAAAAATGATTTACCAAGGAATTTTCAAAAGAAGGGTCTCGCTACTGATTACAATATCTATTATAATGATATTGCTGATGTTCTTCCCAATCCAGTGCTTATAACGAAGCTCTTCTTATAAGATCGTACGAATTGTTTCTATTCACTTTTGATGTTACTTGAATGTTATTTTTGAAATAGTATTGTAAAGCCTAACAAGGAATATAACAAAAACCATCAGCCCGACCTCTACCTTTTGCTTCTTCTCAGAAATATCTGTTCAGCCTTCATTTCGATGTTTCCAGAGAGCTTGCTGCCCTTCCCGCTAATCGGTTTTGCTTTGAATGCGGTCAACGAGGTCCGACTTATGTGAATATCACGCATGGATCATTTTGCTGTACCAGTTGCTCTGGGATTTTGTAAGTAATATTTTATTTGCTCGTAATTTTGTATCGAGAAACGTTTCTTAACAGTACTGGTTTCTTTTGTATTAAATTTCAATTACATTTTGGGCAGCAACAATGTGAAGCTATTTTCGTGTCCTACAATTGGCTTTCACTACTATTCATTTACTGCTTTGCAGAAGAGGATTAAATCCACCCCATCGCGTCAAGTCAATATGCATGGCATCATTCACAGCCGAAGAGATCGAACGAGTCCGTAGCCTTGGAAATGAAGAAAATTCGCATACCTGGTTAGGGCTGTATTCGGGCACACCACCAAAGATGACCAACAAAGATGAGATTACATCATTTCTTATCAAAGTATGTTGTAGTATGCTCCCATTTACCACTTTCTTTACTCTTTTTAAATCCATGAGCGCAACCCTAAAACGCCTGAATAAAGTTGAACGTCTGGGCGAACCCTAAACAAGACTGGCCAAGCCAAAAAAAAAATTTTATCGCGCTGTCCTTTTCTGCTCATTTGTCTTCTTGTCCCATGTGATTTTACCCTTTCAACTCGCTCTCCTCTACAGGGCTGTATTATTTCTGCAACACCTGCGGGCCTAGATTGACGATTTGACGATTTTTTTTTCAGAAGTATGAGAAGAAGGAATGGTATGTTTCGCGTTCAGAACTTGAAGAACAGGAGCGACTTTTGAATCAGGCCAAAGAAGTTTCTAGTCAATGCGGAACAAGCGTGAAAAGTGCCGGAAGTTCATCGTCAAAGGTAATTATGTCTTGCCCTCGTGTTTACTATGGTTGGTGTGCATAAGCGAAACCATTATGTAGGCAGTTGCTGAATTTACGTAAACAATCCCTTGTGGTTTCGATGGACATCCGACTGTCGGGGGGTCTTTTGTTTGGCCAGTCAGTCTGAGCCTAGATATCTCGTCCTCATAGGCAGGGGCACTTCCGGTGGCTCATGTTTGATTTCCCATGGAAAAGCATCCATTAGTCACTGTTATGTTTTTGAGCATTATTTATAATTCATGATGCGAAGGAAAAATATTATTTATGAAAAGACGATCGGCTACGGAATGGCATCCACCTAGAATCGCTTTCCTCATTGGTTTCCGCAGAATGTTCTGAGGACTCAGTTTCTGGTGGCGTAGATGGATCAATAGGATTGGGCCATGCATATATGGTTTCAAGTCTGGAGAAGCGACATGAGTAGTAACAAAGTAACCTGGTTCCAAAAAGAGGTTTATCTATAAGTCCGTTAGTGTTTCCCATTACAACAGCCAAAATCAGGTCCAACCTCCGATCTTCAACGAAACTATGCTAGTATTTCTACAGAAGAATTCGAAGACTGATCTTTCAAATTTTCTAAATTTCTGGTTACCCCATACATAAATATAATATGCAACAGATTNACCATTCTGCATATTTCTGAACAATTTTAGGACTTAGACAAGATCTTACCAGTTATAACTTGTGGTATTGAACGCTAGCTGAATGCCTTCACAGTCCAGTGACCTTTTATGGCCGGCAAACTGGGTGCAGAACAATTTCCTGCACGTAAGCTCTTGCCGTTTGTTT